GTCAGGGGAGACTGCCTGCCACTTGTCACTCTGCCACTGAGCTGGGTTTGCAGCGTGGTGGCAAACATGTGCCCCTGTTCCTGAGCCCTCCCTAACCCAGTGTGCTGCTGTGGACCTGCTCCCAGGCCAAGCCCCTGCAGTTGGATTTGGGAGCTCTCTCAATGAAAAGCCTTTGGGAAATGTCAAATCACCATGATGCCACCACTTCTGCTAGAAAAAGTTCAAGAGTGATTGGTGTAGGAAAATGTGGGCTTGCTTCCCTGATAAAATACTGAGGGATCTATTTCTGTAAAAAACTTCAGTGTGATATTGTGTATGGGACTGCCTACTTTTGACTGCTGTACGGAATTCAGTCTTAGGTGTCTCCTCAACTTCATAGAATTACAGAATAGTTTGAGTTGGAAGGGACCTTAAAGATCATCTAGTTCTAACCCCCTGCCATGGGCAGTGACACTTTCTACTAGATCAGGTTGCTCAGAGATCCATCCAGCCTGGCCTTGAACACTTCCAGGGATGGGGCATCACAACTTCCTGGGCAACCAGTGCCTCACATCCTTACAGTAAAGAATGTTTTTCTGATACCTTATATAAAGCTATGCTCTTTCTGTTTGAAGGCACTCTGGCTTGTCCTGTCACTACCAGCTTCCATTTGGAAGGCTGGATTTCTTATCCTGGTCAGTCTTCCCCACAGCGTTTTCTCTGTTGTTGGCTAGCTCCAAGAAATAAATGCATTTACCTGGACCCTCACTTTAATCTCTCCATGCCATTCAGTGCTATCTTTGTGAACAGTCCTGTAAAAATGCAAATTTACTGTCGGTAGCTCTTAAGTGACACTAGAGAGAAGTTCCTTTAAATTCTGCTCTGCTGCCTGAAGCCATGTCTTCTACCATGTTTGTGTATTTTGTGCTCATAGTGGTGTAATTAACTTGCATAGCAAATTAAATAAGTATTTTCTCTCTAACTCAAAATTAACTCAAAATTCCACCATGTCCTTTACCTTAACTCTTAATTCTCTCCTATTTATCTATTCTGGTGTGTGTTATCCTTCATCAGCTTTCTCAAGAGACAACCATTATACAAGCTTCCCATTTCTAGCTTGGTTTTCTCTTAGAGGCTGAATGTGACATGCATGTGTAAGTGGAAATGGATTTAGGAATGGAAATGTTTGGACTGTGCAGTTTTTTTTCACGCCTGTCTTCCTCCTCCACTCTCAAACGCGTAAGATTTGCTTGTCAAGGTACTCTACTACATGATACTGCCATTTATTTTTGTAAGATAGCTGCAAAGGCTGCAACACTGGGAGAGCTCTGATGGCAGCCAGTTTTGCTAGACCAAACAGTGTGCAGAGGGAAGTTTTTCCCAATGTCTGGCAAAAATGTCCGAGGCTGATCTTCATGAACAGCAGGAATGGGTTTGGAATAACAACCTGAACTCCATTCAGTTCCAGAAAGGTTGCCTGAGCCAATGTTTTACAAGTCACTTTCTATGTCATGCTGCATGCAATTGGGATGAGTATCATGATAGTATGTCTGTTTTTTGGGGGGTTTTGGTGCAGTTTAAGTGCTACAGTCTATTTATTTCACAATGTGTGGGGGAGGTGAGGATGCTGGTGATTACTAAAGGTGAAGTATGGTAAAGTATTGATGTGAGGTTATAAGATGAAGCATTGAGGAGGGATGCAAACCAGGGTTTCAGCCAGGCAGCCATGGTTTCATTGTCATTTTAACACAAGATTGCCATTCTTCTGGCTGTATTTCCAATAAGAAAGAGGAGAGAGAAAGAGACAGCACTAAAATCCAGAGAAATGCCACAAATCCATAGCTGTAATGGAACATATTGTGAAAAGCATTAAATGGCATAATGAAGAGTTATGGGTGTGGAGAGGTTTTTTTAAGTTAGCTTTGATGTAAACAATTTGCTGTACATTCACAAAATTTACAAGCTTGTAAATATTTAAATAAAATTGTTGTTATGGGTTATGTAGACCTCTGTAATTTCTTTTTCATTGCTAAATAATGCTTTCAGTATATTAATTTGAGCACACTACCTGCTCAGGTACTTTCCCAGTTAGCTTAGTCTAGATGGCTTGAGATGTTTAAGGAAAGTTTTCTTTTTTACTTTTATAGCAGCTGAGCAAAATCTGCATTGACATCAAAGACTGTCAGGAAAATGTTTACTGCTTTTTAGATCAATGGCTAGCCAAGCTAATGGAAATTAGCTACAGCAAAACCCAGTGAAGATTCAGTGCTTGTCTAAACTGTGTCTGTCATAAACTGCTCCTTTATACCCTATAAATGGCGAAGGGCTTTTATGGTCTATACTACATTTAACTTGCCTTGTTTAATGTGCAGCACTTCTGTAAAAGGTGATGTACTATATGTGACAGTTTAGTTTTTTAGTAACTCTACTCATTAAAACAAAAAAAGGTAGCAGAGCTTTTTTAGCTATTTATGTTGTTTTAGTTGTACTGCTTTGGGTTGTAAAACAGGCAAACTTTAGAAACTTAACAAGTCTGATCATTACCTTGATGGAAAATGCAGTTAAACACCAGCTGTCTGATGGGCTGTCCATCTCCAACTCTTTCTATTGTTTAGCAGAGGATTTTTTACCTATCTTAATTAAAACTTTTTAATTAAGTTGTTTTTAACTTATTTTTCCTTAGATTTGACAAGTAAGTTTGATAGGCAAAGGGAGAGTGAAAGGTAGATCTGATGATAGAAAATGCCCTATTTGAGCTGTAGCTTAATTTGAGCTACCATGAACATAACTTGTCCTTTTTTAAACTTTGCTGTTAACATGGATTTCATAGCAAGATTTCAAATGTTTTCTCTGTGTGCCTACACTTACACATTCTGAAAAGACATACATTTTTCATGTGTGGGACCATACATCGAAACTATGCCTTTCAGAAGGGACAAACTTAAGTTGTCCTCTGTCTGTGTGTGAACAGAAGGAGAAGGTATTGGAAGTCCTTGGATAGCTTTGGAGATGTGAAGTACTAGAAAGGGAAAAAGTTCTTTCACTAACTCAATTGTTTGTGTCTGTGAATATTTATATAGTTTTTATATTCTCTACCTCTTCCTATCATGCCCTAGTTTTCATCCAGAATTTTCAGAGAAAAATCTCCATCTCTGTTTTCATTCATGACTATTCTTCATAGCATTGTGTGGAAGATTGGCTATTGCTCTGTTGTACATACTGACTGATATGGAGCACTTGTCCTTAAACCTTATCTGTCCTCATTCTTGTGCTGACTCAGGCTGACTCATATACTAGATATAGTTCTGACCAAGGCTAACGTTCAATTTCCCAGAGATTACTTTGCAGTAATATTTTGAAATTGTATTTCTATGCCTGTAACTGTCATTTATTTTAAGATTTGTCTCTATAATCAAGCACTTGAAACATTTGTTTTGATGCTTACAGAAGAAGCAATTTAATTGTCTAGAAATGTATTTTTAGGTGTGTTTTGAGCATGTGTTTATGTTGTTTCAGGTATCTGAGCATGAATTCTGGACTGCCTGTAGCTATTAAAGATTAATTACTGCCTTTTTTTTTTTGGTGCTGCAGTCACAAGACTTTGCTTTCTGCAACGTCACCATTTATAAGGTGAAGGCTGAGCAGTCCCTGATACTTCCCTTCTTTTCCATGCCCTGGAAAATGGTCATCACTTCGCACAAAGCATTCAATCTTTTGTAAATTCAAGCACCATGTACAGAGGCTTTCAGCCTGGGGCCATAATGTACAGGATATTTTTCCTTGTGTAGTAATGAGACAATATTTCTTGGTGAAGTGCTGTAAATGTTCTTTAAATTTTCCTCTAGCAACTGAATAATGGAGGAAGCTAAAACTCCCTCATTCTTCTTTTTACCATGTTCTTGCAGTCCCCATGCTGCACTCACACCTCAGGTGATAATGCAAAATACAGATTCAGAAAAATGCAAACTAGTAAATAGAGATCTCCTTTATTTGTGTCATTGGGACAACAGTACCAAAATCTGGATAATTACGCTTCTTGAACATGAGCAGTAACATTTGCACTGAAAAGAAAATTTGAGATTACATGTATATGTGAACTTTTTTTTAGAGGTATCTATTTGTTAAGAGTCATTTCTATAACCAGATCTAATCTGATCCTAGAATCTTTCAATGATGTCTTATTAATGAACCACAGGATTAATGACTTCTGAAGTTGTTTGGTGCTGTTTGCTGTGCACTGAAGGGTTTTAACTCTATACTGGATCCCATTGGAAGTATCACCCACCCTAGAACATTGCTACTGTTCACATCTGTCAGCAAAAATTCATCAAGGAGCATATTTTGTAAAATAAGAATTAATCCACTGAATGTATGGAACTGTGTCCTGTTCTGGGCTGCCCAACCAGGGACATGGACATGCTGGAGTGAGTCCAGCCAAGGGACTGAGAGTAAAGGGACTGAAACCTCTGCTGTAAGAGGAGAAGCTGAGAGAGCTGGGACTGTTCAGCCTGGAGCAGAGAGGGCTCAGAAGAATCTTAACCATGTGTATAAATACCCATTTTCTAAGTGGTACTCAGTGAAAGGACAAAAGGCAGGGGGCACAGACTGAAATCCCATTTAAACATAAAAAAATACATTTAAACACAAAAAATCTCTTTTATTGTGAGAAGCTGCCCAGTGAGGTTGGGCAGTCTGCATCACTGGGGATATTCAACACCAAACAGATATTCAAAAACCAAACAAAACCCTGAGCAGCCTCTCTAGCTGACCCTGCTTTGATCCTTCAGAGGTCATTTCCAGCCATAACTATGATTCAAAACTGCTTTTAATCAGGAAGCTTTACTCAAATGGCATTGGTGAGAGGTTCTGTTAGATATTTTAAAATCTTTGGGACCTGTTCCATAAGGAGTTGAACTTCTGTATGAAAGTTGTTTGTTGTAATGGCAATGTCTTTTTCTAGTGCTGCTTCAAGATTTGCAGGGATTGTTAACTTCATGTGCACCTTTTGTTTTGCCCCTCAGGAACGTTTCTTCTCGCCAAGATTTCGTCGTCGACTTCATGCTGTCCTAGCATCTGTTAGCACTTCAATGCTGATTTTATCAAATCTAATATTTCTTGGAGGAAATCAAGTTGGAAAAATCTACTGGAACAGGATCTTTATGGAAGGTAAGTTTATTTTTATGTGCTTTCTATATAACAGAATGTTCCAAATGTTACCTTGGGTGGGCTGAGCCAGGTTTGTCTCTCAGTGCACTAACTGGGAGTTAATTTTTTTCTGGTCAAAACTATCAAAAAATCTGAGAAAATTCAAATAACTCTGCAGGCTGCATGACTACAAAGAAACGTTGCTTTTCTCCCATTCAAGCCTAGAAGGAGGGCTGTCAGGCTCCTCTGACAAGAGAAATCACTGAAGATCAAGTAATAAATGTGCAACAAGTTACCAAGCTGAATTTTTTCCCCGCTCTGCATTTCACACACGTCTGTAAGGATGGGTGTATTAAAGCCAACCCCATACATTCTGTGGATGGCTAGTGGGTAAGATCTGCATAGTGCAGCATAATTGAACAAGCATTCATGGCTTTTTTTTTGTAGTGAATGTGATTTCAGGCTGGGGACCTGCTGACTATTGAGAACAAGTGTGGGGACAGGAGAACTTGGGTGACAGTGTCAGCCTGTGGTGCTGCTGAATAAGCAGTATGGGATGTGCTCTGAGCTGACTCAGGAGACAGAGGGAGCTTTAATTGTTTCGCCAGAGGTCAGCATAAGTAGGACCAGTTTTCTTTTTAGGTTCTTACTGCTGCCAGGGAAATGAAGATCTTGTAGAGGAATATTGCTTCCTCAAGAGGGAAGTACTAATAGGCTTCTGTGCCTAGAAGTGTTCTCTTAAAAAGACCACCACTGTCTATTGCAGTGTTTTCTCCTCTTGTTCCTTTCAATGGCTTAGAAGTCAGCTCTGGAGTTCCAAGATCCTACTTAAGCATCCCAAAATAGTGAAACTCTTAAAGAGTAAGTTATGTATATGAGTGAAGCGATTTATCTTCTGAACTAAAGGAGACAAACCATTCCATGAGCTTAAAGAAAGGGACATTTTTAGCATGAAATATAGTGAAGCTTTTTGTTAATCCTGGGAAGGAAAGAGGGAGTACCTGATTTTGCTCTACAAAGCATAAAATGCTTGTTTTCTGTTTTTTGAAAGGCTTTGTTTTCTCTCTTAAATGGTTTCTTTCCAGTTAGTTGGCCAATAGTAGAAAATAAGCTGAGAGAAAAAGTTGAAAGTAAATTTGAACATCTCTTCTTATTTATTAAAAGAAAAAAAAAGGAGTAGTGAAGTTACCTATCTCAGCCTTACAGCCCCATACAAATTACTTCCATAATGTAATCTGTGTATTAAATGAGAATATATATCAAGTATGCCTTCCTTGTTAGAAGGGTTAGTGGTTGTGCAGGGGTTTGCAACTGATGAAGGATAATGTTTTATGAAGTATAACAATATTTAATTAAAACAGAATCAATCAATTATTGATTGTTTTTCTAGGTTTGTTTTTTTTTCTTGGTGGGGGTGTAGTTCTTTGGTCCATTCCTCCTGCACTTGAATATAAAGAGTTACTTAAGGATTAGGTACCAGTCATCTAAGACAGGAATAGGAAATTAGTTTAGTCATTTGCATCTTTGTTTCCATGATGTTTTAATCAAATTAACTTTATTTTTAGAACATAAAAGCTTTTGCTTAGCACAGCTCATACTCCAGCAGTAGAAATCTCAGTGTCTCAGTGTTCAGCTTTGTGAGCTTTGCATGCCTCTAGTATTTGATCACTCAGAGGCCTGTGAGTAGATTGTTTAACTGCATTGTTGTTCTGACAACTCCCATGTATAAACTGAAACATCCATGAAAATTTTATTGCATCTACACACCTGATCCATTGTGGTTTTCTTACTGTGGAGCAAATGGGGTGAACTCTGGTGTCACTCCAGGCTGGGGATGAACAGACCAAGAGCAGCTCTGCAGTGAGAGGCTTGGGGGTGCTGGTGGATGAAAAGCTGGACATGGCCCAGCAATGTTCACTGGCAGCCCAGAGAGCCAAATGTGCTTTGGGCTACATCAGAAGGAGCCTGGGCAGCAGGCCAAGCAAGGGGATTCTGCCCCTCTGCTCCCCTCTGGTGAGACTCCTCCTGCAGTGCTGTGCCCAGCTCTGGGGTCCCCAGCACAGGAAGGACAGGGACCTGTTGGAGCAGATCCACAAAAATTAGAGAGATGGAGCACCTCTCCTGTGAGGAAATGCTGAGAGAGTTGGGATTGTTCAGCCTGGAGAAGAGAAGGCTTTGGGGTGCTCTAATTGTGGCCTTCCAGTATCTGAAAGGATCCTACAAGAATGATGGAGAGGGACTTTTTAGAAGAGTTTGTAATGACAGGACAAGGGGGAATGGCTTCAAACTGAAAGAGGGTAAATTTAGATTAGGTACTAGGAAGAAATTCTTCCCTGCAAAGGTGGGGAGGCTCTGGAACAGGTTGTCCAGAGAAGTTGTGGATGCCCCATCCCTGGAAGTGTCCATAGTCAAGCTAAGTGGATCTCTGAGTAACCTGGTCTAGTGGGAGGAGTCCCTGCCCATGGCAGGGGTTGGAACTGGGTGGCCTTTAAGATCCCTTCAATCATTGAATGGCTTGAGATAAGATAACTCAAGCCATTCAATGATTGAAGGCCAATCAAATCCAGAAGGACTATTCAAAACTTCGTCTTCAGTTTCAACTAAATTTAAGTGCTGGTCTGTAAGAGAGACAATAAAAATCTACATTTGCAGTGTGCAATGCTAAAAGCTAAAGTTAGATAAATTTGTTTGTAGTCTGCACTGTTCTGGTGAATCCAATTCATCAATATTTACAGACTAAACTAAACACTACAAATATGTACTCTTTGATCATTCCTTTGTCAGCCCAAGAATAGATGAGATGATCTAGCTACTTAGCTTGCACTCAAGATTTTGTCTTCACCTTATAAAAATTCAGTGGGGGTATGCTTGACTTGTTAGAACTAAGGGTGGTGGTGGTGAGTGGGTGTTCTGTTAGGCAGGAGGGCATTTGTGTGGGTTTTTATCTTTGTACTTCATTTCTGGTGTTATGCAAGCAACATAAAGTTCCCAAGAATTAAGATTTTCTTTTGTACATTACGATTCTGTAGAGCTTTAATTAGAACAGATATTTATATTCTGTCGTTGACCTGGGAAAAATAGTCTAGAAATCTGGCAAAGGACCCCAGTGCTCTTTTGTGTGTAATACCCAAATCTGAGTCATTTCACTTGGTAGACAAAGCAATGTTACATTGTCCAGTAGGCTACTGAGATCTGCTGAATATGTATCTAGTTGCTTTGAGTCAGTAATTGTTAGCTTTGGGTCAAGAAGAAAGAAGATATTCTGTGAAGTTCAGGTTAAAATATTAGAAATAATGTTCTCTATTTAAAAGCTTTTTGATCTCTTTGAAATTTACCTTGGTTTAGGAAACCTAAGCAGGGTTTTGCACCACTCTAAAACCAGAGAATAGACATTGGCATTGGGAGGACATCTCAACATTCTCAAGAACCCCCCAGCAGGACTTGAGATTGGCTGACTGAGGTGGCAGAGGGCTCTGCAGCACTAGTGTGACATGAAATCGCTCTGAGGTCAGGAGCAGAGAGATGTGGAAACAAAACTGCCCACCTGAGCACTATCAGCTGCAAAGAGTAGTCGGTTCCTTTCCTTTGTTCAAATGCCACAGAATTATCTCTATAAAGATCTGTACATGTATGGGTAGGAAAAAATAGGAGAACAGATGTGTGCTTCACAGTTTGTTAGTGCAATTGGCATTTGTAGATCACTAAAAAGCAGACAAGAACATATAGGCTAAATTCCAGCAATAAAATACATCTCAGAGCAGAATTCAGATCTGCAGGTTTAGGTGCAACATAAGATGTTGTGTGTGGCATTTTCATGTCTGGCAAGTAAATGAACCTCAGAATATCAGTATTGTAAGGCCCTAAATGCCCAGCCTACAGCACTTCATAGTCAGAAATTAGCAGTTCTGTTGTATAATGCTGAAAAACAGAACACTAAGGAGCATCTTCCTGCTAGCATGTGTGTGACTGATGCAAATTTAAACCAACCAGCTCTTAAAGGAAAGTTTTACTGAAGCTTAAGATGTAAGAAATGCACTTCTAGTTTTGCTCTTTAGTTACTGGAGAGAATCTAGTCTGTTCTTTTGCAAAGACTGAGAATTATCAAAAATCTCTACAGTTTTGGAAAGCGAAGAAAAGATATGGATGTGAAAGCACTTAAACCTCAGGGCCAGCACAGTCAGTTCAAGGAGAACCATGCAAGTGGGATACCTTTGTTATCAAAGGTTTGTGAATTGCATTTGAAGAACAGGATTTAGATGAAGTTTCCTGGGATTCTTGTTTGATACTTGTTTTGAAGTGCTTTGGCAGTGTTTTCCACAGTTCCCGTACCACAAACAAGGAGAGTTAATACCTGAGCATGTATTCTTTAGTATTTTTTTTTGTTTCCTCTTGTGAAAAATAGATTAAATGTATCTGACTTTAAAAATAATTTTGTGCATCCTTAAAATCACTGGTGCAAAATTATGAGAGCAGAGGTCTGTGTGTCTTGTGTGTATATTTGTTCTTAATTTTGTTCTGAAAAATCTTTCTGTTCTTTCTGTTCAGACCAGCCTTGGTGCTTGTTTCTAAAATGTAATTTGGCCCTGTTATGTGCAAAGAAAAAAGTTCCTATAGCAAGGATTTACTTTGATCTTTCTTAGCAAAAATTTTCTCATGAGGAAAAGTGTCACATGTTTAATAAGGAAGTGGGAGAAATATCTTCTATGTAACAAACCAATTTTAATCCTGTATTCTCCATAATTCAGTAATGCTTCACTTCAAAATGAGATGCTCCAACAAGAAAGGTTCTTTTTGGAAGGGCTCACCCCTGCAACCAGCACAGTGCAGTGCTTTTGGTTAAGAGACTGAAATATTTTATCAAGCATGGATGAAGGCATTGGACTGGGAGGGGACGTAAGTGTATTGGGTGATAAAAGTCTAAAATTCTTCCTGTTCTATTTCTGGTTTACCAGGAACTGTGTCCAGATCACTGAGGAGAGCACACAGTGCATTTCAGGTGTATTTTGCTTTGAACAGCTGTC